CCCCCCAGTGTGCTCCAAACCCCCCCAATTCATGCCTCCCCCCCCAAAATGTACACATACCCCAGCAGCACCCACCTCCTGCCAGCCCACCCCAGGGCCCCACTGGTGCCAAGTGCCCTGACAGAGATGGGGGGTCCTGCCACGTCCTCGGTGGGGACCCTGCCATTGGGTGCAACCCCGGGGGGGGGGACAAAGGCAGCTCTGCCCCCCCCAGGGATGCCATATCCCCAGCTTCGAGGTGCCAGCCTGTGGTCCTGCAGGAGGGTGACGGTGCCCGATGCCCCCCAGCCGTGTTGGGGGCGGGGAGGGGGGGCACGGTGGGGGTCCGGCGCAGCCACCGGGCTGAGCTTGGTGCCAGCTCCACGCTCTCCTCCTCCTCCTCCTCCTCCCTGCAGGATGCTGTTCTCAACGCCTGTTACCGGGGCTGCCGGCTGTTCTCCATCTGTCACTTCGTGGATGCGAGCGCCGAGCTGAACACAACCAGAGCTGAGTGTGAAGCAGGTGAGGGTGCCGGCGCCCGAGTGGTCCCTGCACCCCAAACACCACCCTGGGGGGGTCCCCCCACCCACCAGCAGCACCATCGTGACCATCCTGCCTCCGCTCTGCCCCACGGCTGCAGCCAGACCCTGCTGCAAACCCAAGTGGGGTGCGGGTTTATGCCCACAGGGTGTAAATCAGGAGGGGTTGGGGGTTCCTGGGGTTGTGGGGCTCCTCAGAGGGATCGGGCACCCCCTAATCCTGACCCCCCTCTTTCCTTGCAGCGTGCACCGAAGCCTACAGCAACGCAGAGGAGCAGTTTGGCTGCGTGACGGGGTGCCACAAGCAGTTGCCCGAGGTGGAGAGCAGGAAGGAGAAGGTGAGGGGCTGGGGAGATGGGGAGCCCCCATCCATCCATCCCTCATCCATCCCTCCATCCCTCATCCATCATTCATCCATCCATCATCCCTCCATCCCTCCATCCATCCCTCATCCATCCCTCCATTCCATCCCTCATCCATCCATCCTCCATCCATCCCTTCATCCATTCATCCATCCATCATCCATCCATCCCTCCATCCATCCATCCATCATCCATCCATCCATCCATCCATCCATCCTCCATCCATCCCATCATCCATCCATCCATCCATCCCTCATCCATCCATCCCTCATCCATCCATCCTCCATCCATCTATCCATCCCTCATCCATCCATTCCTCATCCATCTATCCATCCCTCATCCATCCTCCATCCATTTATCCATCCCTTATCCATCTATCCATCCCTCATCCATCCTCCATCCATTTATCCATCCCTTATCCATCCATCCATCCATCCTCCATCCATTTATCCATCCCTTATCCATCCATCCATCCATCCATTATCCATCCATCCATCCATCCATCATCCTTCCACCCCTCCCTCCCCAGCACAGACATCCAGCCCCATCCCTCCCTTTGCTCCCTCCCGGCCACCCCCACCTCATGGCTCGGTGACCCCCATCTTCCCCCAGTGCTTTCCCAGGGCAGACTGGGCCCAGGTGTGCTCCCCATGTGCCAAAACCCACGCTGCAGGCTGTGTCCTGCTTTATTTTACCTCCCCTGTTACCCGTGTCCCTGCAGATGAGCCCATCACTGGCTCGTCGCAGGGCAGACTGGGCCCAGGTGTGCTCCCCATGTGCCAAAACCCAGGCTGCAGGCTGTGTCCTGCTTTATTTTACCTCCCCTGTTACCCGTGTCCCCGCAGATGAGCCCATCACCGGCCCGTTGCGCCCCAAAACATCAAACACCGATTCACGGGGCTCACCCAAATTTGGGCGGGCAGATTTGGGCCGTTACACCCAATTCCCAGGGTGAGAGGTTCCGACCAGTGATTGTTACCAATTCCCCCACTTTCTCTCTGCTATCCTTCCCAGCAATTAGCAACGCTCTTTCCTCCTACATTTGGTTAATTTAGCTCTTGCCCAATTAATTAAATTAGTCTTTGGCCCAAGGTAGAAGCTTTTGGCTTCGTACGCCTGCGGAGGAAGATGAATTTGTGCTGTGGAAAGCTGCAGCTCCTTCGAAAAACCCTTTTACAGCCTGGTTTTAAGACCTTCCCGGTGCCTGATCCCATTTCCCAGCCCCTCTCCGAGGTGGGGGACGAGCATCGGGGGGCGAGCGGCCGCCGGGGGAAGGGCTGTCACCCCCTTCACCCACCCAAAAGCATTTTTCCTCCGGGTTCCCAGACAGGCAGGCAAAGCAGATTTAGCATAATAATTAGATACAGAATCTGACCTATTTATTTCCTGTTTGCTGGTTTGACCGTGCAAGGGGCTGTCGGAAAATGTTCGAAGCCAGTGGCAGGGGAGCAGCCAAGCGGATTCCAGCAGGGATGCTTTAAAAATAACAAACCGCCGCGACGGCCAAGAATCCAGGGCACGGAGAGGCTGCCAGGAGAGAAACGCCCTCGGCATCTCGGCCGCTCCGCTCCTATTGTTTAAAGCGCTGCTGAGAGCAAGCGGGGGGCTGCCGAGGGGCTGGGTGGTGGCCCCGGGGCTGGGTGGTGGCCCTGGGGTTTGGTGACAACCCTGGGGTTTGGTGACAGCCCTGGGGTTCGGTGACAGCCCTGGGGTTCAGTGATGGCCCTGGGGTTTGGTGACAGCCCTGGGGGTTGGTGACAGCCCTGGGGTTCAGTGATGGCCCTGGGGTTTGGTGACAGCCCTGGGGTTCGGTGACAGCCCTGGGGCTGGGTGGTGGCCCTGGGGTTTGGTGACAGCCCTGGGGTTCGTTGATGGCCTTGGGGACCACAGCCCCAGGCTCAGGGACCCCTCCCAGGGCTGGACCACAGGTCCTGCACATCCCCAGCCCTAGGAGAAGCAGGCTGAGCCCCAGATCTAAGCATCCAGCTCAACCCCGGCGGAGAAGCAGGCTGAGCCCCACATCTAAGCGTCCAGCTCAACCCCAGCCACCTCCTCAAGGAGGGATGTTGTTCCCCCGGGTTTGGGTGACGAGGGGACAGCAGTGACACGATGTCCCTGCTCCTTTGCAGAGCCTGGAGCTGAAGGTGCCGTCGTTTTCCATGTTGGATTTGGTCTCCACCTTCTGCAACGACATCGTCAGCTCTGCCCAGAGCTTCATCTCCTCCACCTGGACCTTCTACCTGCAGGCGGATGATGGCAAAGTTGTGGTGTTTCAGGTCAGGGGGGGGGTCCCGTGTCCCCTCTCTCTCTGTTGGGTGCTGAGAGGGGTGGGAACCCCCTTCTTCACCCTTTTCTCCCTCTTTCCCCACCAGTCCCAGCCCGAGATGGAGTATCCGGTACCCGAGGTGCAGGAGATCCAGCCAGAGCGGCCGGTGCGGCCAGGACCAGGGTCCAGCCCCCGTGTCCCCCAGCCCCACACAGGTGTGGGGTGTTTGTGGGGGGGTCTGGGCTGCTGGCGGGATGTGGGGTGGGTGGGGGGTGTCCGGGAGCCTCCGAGCCCTCCTGGCTCTCATCCCATTTCTCCAGAGCTCAACAAATTACCCGCTTCTTGGGTCTGATTAAGCTTCCCACACCCCGCACCCACCAAGGGGGGGTGAGTCTGGATCTGGGCTGCTGGCAGGATGCAGGGGGGTGGGGGGGTGTCCGGGAGCCTCTGAGCCCTCCTGGCTCTCATCCCATTTCTCCAGAGCTCAACAAATTACCTGCTTCTTGGGTCTGATTAAGCTTCCCACCCCCCACACCCACCCAGGGGGGGTGAGTCCGGACTCGGGACCTGCTCCAAGAAGCTGCTGGGATCCTCTGTGCCCCCCCCTCCAGCAGGGAGAGGGTCCCCGGGGGGGGTGAGGGGATCACCCAGCACCCCATCACCTGCTGGCATGGGGACAGGGAGCGGGGGAGGAATGCCCACACAGTGGGTGCTGGGGCTCAGCATCATCTCTCTCTCCCCCCCCCTCAGGCTCCCGGGTGAAGGGGGAGAAGCCCCCCATGAAGGAGCCACGGGGCAAAGCCAAGGGGCAGCACCCGGACCCCCCGCAGCCCGAGCACGACTTCCTGGGCTGCATGTCCAAGTAGGTGCAGCGGGGGCTGCGTGGGGACCCCGCTGGGGCCAGACACCCTGGAGCAGATGCTCCCCCCTCAAACCAAAATCCCCACCCCGTGCCCTGCCATAAACTCGTCCTTTCTCCTTGGCGGGGGGCGGTGGGGTGTTACAGACGCTCGGGCCTTCCTCGCTGGATCCTGGCCGCCTGCCTCTTCCTCTCCATCATGGTGATGCTGTGGCTGAGCTGTGCCAGTTTGGTGACCGCCCCTGAGCAGCACGTCAAGACCCAGGTACGGGGTCAGCAGTGCCCAGAGCAGCCCCAGGGGGGGTCCAATGAGTGGTCCCCCACACTCTGGGTCTCCCTGTCATGAGCCTTGAGGAGCTGAGATGTGGCCACACGGTGTTTGTGGTCCCTGGCCACCATGCTGGGCTCGCTGGCATGTCCCTGCCGTGCGATACGTCCCCAGCCAACCTCATGGTGTTCCCAGTCTGGGGACAAGGGGGTCCTGTCCCCTTCTCCGGGGCTGCACGGTCCCCTCTGCCTCTCTTCCAGCCTCTGAGCATCAACGGGGACAAGGAGTACCTGGAGGACCTGGATGGCCCCGGCGCCTTCCCCCTGCCGCCCGTCATCGCCGTCACCCTGTGTCCCACGCACGGCGGCGAGGATGGGGGGCCGCTGCCCCTCAAAGTCGACCTGGACAAGACCATCCTGTAGCGCTCCCACCCCTTCCCATCACCTCCATCTCCCTGTCACCATCCCCACAGCATCATCCCTGCTCCCGCTCCGCTCCCCCTCCGGCTGCCCCATATCCCTGGCTCCTGGAGGAGCATCTCCAGCTCCGACGTGGGGAGGATTGGGGGTACCATCTGTCTGGGTCCCCCTCTCCTCCCCAGGGATGGCCGCTGTGGAGAAGGCTCCCAGGAGCCAGGCAGCGGCTTTGCCTCCTCTGTAGATGTTCTGGGATCCTGGTTTCCAGCTCTCCAGAGCCAAGAGAGGAGCTGCCAGAGCGAGGAGGCCGGGGGGAGCCCATCCTCGTAGCGGGGCGGTCCGTCTCCTCCCGCCCGGAGCCCCCGGGGCCCCGCAGCCCTCCGGGCATGGGTCCAGCGCTGGGCAGGAGGGAGCCGGCTGCGGGTGGGGGGATGGAGAGTGTCTGCAAGGATCTGGGCTTTGGCTCGGCACATCCCCGGCCTCCCACCTTGGGCTGAGCCTCCAAGGCGCCGTCTCCGGCCCTGGGAACTCCCTTCCGCCGGCCGGAGCCGATTGCCTTGGGGAACCGAAACGTGGCGAATGGATTTGGCCTTGGCAGCCGGAGGGAGGGAGCGGATCTCGCCGCCTCCGTGCCCACGCCGAGGACCCAGCCGGCTCCTTCCCCGGAGCTGTGGAGGGGCCCCGGGATGGTTCCTTCCCCCCTCCCTGCTCCCTGAGGCCTTTGGGGCGGCTGGCCCCGATGCCAAGGGGATGGGAGTGGGACCAAGAAGGGGGATGAGGGAACGATTCCTTGTGTCCGAGCTCGGAGCTGCTGGGATGCCCCCGTGCTGGGCTCAGCATCCCTGCCTGATGCCAGGAGCAGCTCACCCTGTGGGGCTGTAGCTGATGGCAGGACCCAGCAGCAGCCGATCTCCGGGGCCTCCAGGCTCGCAGCTCTGCCCTGGAAGTGGGGGGCCAGCCCTGGGGTCCCCCCTTGGTGTGGAGGAGTCCCCAACCTCCTCCTGCTCCCCAGGGCTCTGCTCTCGGGCGAGATGGAGCATCTCCCCCTCTCCCCTCCGTTCTCCATCACTTGACATCGTGCGTCGTTTCGTGGTTTGATTGTCACCAGCATGTGGTCCCTCGGTCCCCGACACCCCCTGGGGACACTCCGGCGCTCGGGAGGGACGGCTCGGCGGGGGCGGTCCCTTCCATCCCCACCTCCACCTAACACATCTGTACAGATTAACTTATTACCCGTGAACCCCCCACCCCTGGGTTTTTAGGCTCTCTCCGTGTGCCGGCTGCCCCCCGGCACTGTGGGGGTCTCGGGGGGGGCCATGGCGTGGTGGGGATGGGGGGGCTCCTGTCCTCAACCCCACCGGTTTTGATCCCCACCTCCACCTAACACATCTGTACAGATTAACTTATTGCCCGTGAGCCCCCTAACACATCTGTACAGATTAACTTATTACCCGTGAGCCCCAGGCTGTCCCTGTCCCCAGGGTGCCACCACACCGGGGGGAGAGGGTGGCCACGGAGCATCCCCCCCCCTCAGCCCCCAGCTTCACTTCCAAAGGGCAAACCCAGCCCCAAACTGGGCGGGCGAAATAAAAAGGTTTGTACCAGAGCTGGGTGAGTCGGTGGCTTCACGGGGTGCCTGTCACCAGCTGGGGAGCAGGTTGGAGCCCCCACATGAGGCCAGCAGGAGGACACAGGTGTGTTCCCAGCTCGCCATCCCATCTTTGGAAGCTGAGCTGGGATGAAACCTCCAGCAAATGGGTGAGAAACCCCCCATTTGGATTGTTCTGCGCAGAGCCGGAGTGATGCTCCCTCTCCGCTGCAGGCTGCGGGGCCGGCACATTCGCTGGACCAAGATGCATCAAGCCTTAAAGAAGATGCTGCTTTCCCTGGGGAGCTGGGACCAACACCCCCGGGGTGGGCAGGGGGGCTGGGTACCCCAAAACAAACACCCATCAGCGGCGAGGAGGAGGAGGAGGAGGCTGAGACACGGCGGTGGGGGGGGCTGCACGCGTGGATAGAAAGAAAGGCTGGGGAACGTGGGGTTTTCTCACTGAAAATCACCCGCTGACACCCCGGGGACCCGTTTTGAGGGAAGAAAAGGGTAAATCAGGCCCTGGGTGCGTGTGACACGTCAGCGTAAGGCGCCGTGGCCGCCCGGGCTCGAGGGCTGGGGGATGTGCTCGCACGTGCGTGCGCCCACCTTTCCCCCGCGGCGTGTGTTTTTCCTGGCCCGGCGCCCGCGTCCACGCCACAGCCGAGCTCTCCCCATGCCAAGCACGACACAAAAGCTCACGCAAAGGGCCTGGAGGCTCGTTTTTAGCACTTCAGTAGCTCAGCGGGGTCCCGTCCTCCGAGCCAGCAGCGGCGCGGGGCCCCCGAGGAGCCGGGGATGGTGCTTGGCCTCGGCTGCTTGTTTGCTCCGGGATGCGGAGCCGGGGATGAGGAGGTGCTGCCCGACCCCGGGGAGGGCTGTGGGTGGATGTTGGGGTGTTCAGCACGACCCACAGCTGAAAAAGGACCTCCAAAGGAGGTGCAGAACCTGCTGCCGGAGTGTGGCCCCTGCCTGTCCCTAAATCAGGGGTGCAGTGTCACCCCCACACAGTGCCAGGTGATAGAGGGGGATGCTGCGATCTGCTCGTTAACCGGAGGGGCTTGGCTCGTTAACCACAGGGACCTGGCTCATTAATTGGAGGGGAGAGGGATGGTGTTTCCAGCTCCAGGCTGTGCAGCAGGCAAGGAGCCAAGTGGAGGATGCTCTGGGCAGCCCAGGGCCAGCGTGTGAGGCAGAGTGTGTGCCACGGCCACATTGCCAGGGCCATGGGATTTGGGGGCTTGCACGGTGTCCTCAGCAGCACCTCGGGGTGCCAGGGTGGGCAGAGGGGTGTCGGGGGGCCGGCAGGGCAAGAGGGAAGGGCTGAGAGATGGGAGCCCAGCGCTGAGCAGCCTTTGGGATAGGCAAAAGCTGGTGACCTGGAGGTAAGAGCCCCCCCGACCGGGGCTGAGCCACCGAGTCCCCCCCAGATGGCATCTCAGGGGGTGTCTTTCTCCAACATTCTCCATAGGGAGCCCAGAGTCTCAGCTCTGAGTCAGGGTGCTGGCAGCTCCCGGACACCCTGCGGTGATGGAGCGATGCTTGGGAGCAGAGGGAAATCCCGGGATGGTGTTCCTGGGGGGTGAGACCCCCAGTATGGGGGTCTCTGCGTCCCCCCGCCCCGGGCTGGTGCAGAGGGAGGTGGCAGGGCATGAGATGGGTGCAGACAGCTGGCAAACCCTGCCCACCGCGGGCAGTGGCTCCGAACGGGTCCCCTCCTGGGATGGGAGCCGGGCTCCAAACCGTGGACAAGCTCCTCGCCTTTAAACTGGAGTCAGATTCCTTCTTGCTGGCTCGGGGTGCAGGAAACCCTGCCCGGGAGCAGGTGAGGAGGGACCCCACTCTAACAAGAAGGAGACGCATGAAATTAGCTGGTTCCACTCCCCCCAGGAGGCAGCCGGGGTGTTTTCCACCCGACGCCTTGTCCTTCTCACTCCCTCTTTTATTTTTTCACGGGGTTGGAGTTGGGGGGGGAAGAGAAGGAAAATTCCCAGTGTGTGGCCCCATCGGTGAAGAGAAGAACAAGGGGCAAGTCAGCCCGGGGTGGAATTGCACCCTCCATCCTGTGGCCGGTGGCAAGGATGTGGGGGGACCACGAGTCCACGGTGGGTCGTGTCCCTCCTCGTGGCGAGCAGCTGGGCCACGGGTCAGTGAGAAATCACAGGCCGGTAGGTGGGGACTGTTAGCCACGCTGCGGCCAGAAACGGCCTCAAAAAGCCAGGGGGAGGCCAGCGAGCTGCCCCCCACGCCTCCACCACCGACCCCTCTCCGGCATCTCCCGCCTTGTGCGATGCCGTGGCTCGGCCTCCGAGGGTTGCAGAGGGGGGTCTCGCCGGCTGTGGATGGGGTCGGTGCCCCCCAACCTGGCTGCTTGCTCTGTGGCTGCTGTTCTCACTTCTGGCAAATGCCCCCTCTTTTCTTGCCCCCCACCCCAGCAAATCTCAGCTGCCGGGAGCTGGCCCCGCTCCACGGCCGCTCGCACGCTCCAGCTGAGGAGCTGGGCCACGCGGCGAATGCATTTGTGCACGGATTTCCCTCCCCTCTCGCTGTCTGCTCCCGACAGTGTCGTTCTCCCAAGCTGAGGAGGACTTTGGGAGCCCTGGCAGGTCCTTGTCCCTCTGTCGGGTGTGCTGAGCCCAGTGCCACATCCCACCGGGATGTCTCTGCTCGGGAAGAGCATTGGGGTCCACCTTTGGGGGGTGTCACAGAGGGTGGAAGGGCCAGGAGTGGGACAGTGGGGTGGGGAAGGGCTCTGAGAAGCCCCTGCCTTGCACACGCGTGTGTCAACCCCCATTTTTGTGGTGTGTGACCAGTTCTCCTGGAGCGGAGATGGTGTTGGTCCATCTGGGTCTGCACCCATCGCTCCCCTTCGCTCCTTCCCACTCCCATCCCGGGGAGATGCTGCTGGACACAAAGCAGCCCCAGGGAAGGGGGAGGTTTCTTCCTCTTGTCTCGTGTTGGAGGAATGAGGGTCTTTCATGAGAAAGCACAACCAGAAGGAAACAGCGGTTTTGGGCCTTGCCAGAGCCGGGCTTTTGAAGAGGATGGAAAAAGAGCCTGGGCTCCTATCTCAGCTGGGGAAAAGGATATTTTCTAGGAGCTCCAGCTGCCTCTCGCTGCCCCTGGCCCGGCTCCTGCTAGCACATGGCTGCAATCCGCCGCTGTCCCGACCAGCACGCAGAGCCGTAAATTCAGCTTTAATCCCGCTGGAGGTAGGTCTGCACATCCAGAGACGGAGCGAGGATGAGGATGTGGGGTGGGCAGCTGGACGGGGGTTCAAAGCGAGCTCCAGCAGCGCCTCTGGCCCCATCCCATCCCATCCCATCCCAACCCAGCATGTGGGGGCTGAGCCCCTCATCCACACAAACGCTCCTTTGGACCACACCAGGCAACCATCCTGGAGCTGGCAGCAAAGCTCACGTGGCCTTCAAAGATGGAAACCTCACGGTGGTGCCAAAATCAGG